AATGGAGTGAGGGAGTGACCCAGACAGATAGAAACTGGGATTTAGCTTCGTAATGTTTCTCAATTGATTTAGAATAGAGTAACAGTATAAGAGTAATAGTAATATGTTCTATGTAAACCATAAAGTTTCGTCTAGGAAGTTTTTCATCAAGTGCCTGGATCAGGTCTCCTTTAATAATCTGTCATGCTTTCTTATAAAACTCCAGGGTGTACCCATCCGGCCCCGGAGCTTTATCCCCATTGCAACTCTTGATTGTATTCCAAATTTCCATCTCGGTAAATGGCCTGATAAGGGAGTCATTTTCTTCTGCAATTCTGCTGTAAAGGTGAAGAACTCATACCCCTGGGGAAAGGCCTGTTATGTTTCCCTTCCTTTAATTTCAAAACAAAATGACTTCTGAAGGTCTCCTTAATAACTTCACAATCCTCGGTCAGATTCCCAGCCACCTGATTCTGTTCCTCCTATTATGGGAAGCCACCATGTGGAAAACATTAGACTGAAAAACATTTGAGTTGCAAAATAAGTGATGATATTCATAACCCTTTCATAAAATAAAAAGTCGTTGCGGCTCGATGTGAAAAACAAAGTAAATATGTACTCTACTAATTTGATTTTTATTCTTATCCGCCGACACACACCTCTACAAAATTCCTAGGTCCGTTACTAGCCAAACCAGGGTTAATCGTATCGGATACCGCGTAAGTATTGATTTCGTTGTATACTAACCACTTACGTTTTTTTAGTTGCAACTAAACCACATAAGTCGACTTCCGGTTGTACCATTATATTTTTCATCCTTAAACTTAACAGCAGATATCAGATTGAAATTTTTCGCATTAATTTACACAACTAATATGGTCATCTCATTAATGAGGGATTGAGAGTGGCACAACCAGCTAGCTGTTCAATTGGCTTAAGCATTCTTCTGAGACGATGCTCTTTTTTTTCAGTGCTCATTTTACATTCATATTCCTCTCTTAGAGCATCTCCATTGGAATTGCATTTAGAATTGCATTATACAATTGCATTGATGTAGATGACAATTGCATCTTTGCAAGCTTGCATATAATGCAATTATGGAATGCAAGCAACATCATCTTTTTTAATATTAAATTATTCATTAATTTTATTATTTGAGTGTTTATGTTTTAATTAATTAAATTAAAAAAATTAATTGCAATTGCAAGTTTATTGCATTGATGTAGTCCAATGCAAGTAAGATGAGTTGGATTGCAAAAAAATGAAGTAGCAATAAAAAAAAATGAATGTAATTGCACCAATAGAGATGCTCTTATATATCTTTTTAGGGTTAATTGCATGGTTGGTCACTGAGATTACAAAAAACGTTCAAGTTTGGTCACTCGAAATATTTAAATCCATTGGTGGTACTTCAATTTACTGAAACCGTTCACGTTTAGTCACTCTCCGCCCAACTCCGTTAACTTTTGCTGATGTGGCGGTCAACTCTAACAATTGACCGTTAAATGTGTGATGTGGCAATTTATAAATAATAAAATTAAAATTTTCAAAATTGCCATCTAATTTCCACTCATTTGAAAAGAAAGATGGGGGATTAAATGTGAAAACTGAAAATTGCCATCTCTCTTTCTCTCTGGGTTCTATAAAGAAATGGCCTTTGTGATTGTATTCTTTTCATTCACCTCAGAATCCGATTCCCTCAACAAATCCCTCTTTCAAACATCGGTTGAAACTTCTTCATTATGTGTTCTTTAATCCATCACTCTGCCTAACTAATGCTCAAACAGGTGGCTCCTTCACTGGCCAGAGGACCGACACTCCGCTTTACATGTTTTTCATTTTGCAGCTTCGGCTTGGTAGTTGCTGTAGTTTATTGAGAATGCATAGAAGCCATAGAAAGGGATTCTCAATGAATGATAGGCCTTCCAGCGTATGAGGACGTACTTGAGCTGTAACAGAGTGTTCTCACTTCTCATAGGCAGCCGAGGCAGAACTTCAATCTGAACAGAGTGTTCTCATCGAAAGGGATTCTTCCTGTCATGCCAAGCTTTTTCGATGGTAAGAGCTTTTTCTCGCAGAAAAAAGGCTTATTCATGATCGGATGATCATGCTGGATAATAACCCTCAAACCTCCGAGTCGGAACTAATTCCTCACTCTGTCGCTGGCGTTGTCGGAAGAGGAAACAGAGCCTACCTACTGAATGTTTGTTGGGTCATGCCGGAAATTAATTACGTTTCTCTCTCCAACTTCTCTCTACTCGACTCTCATCTTTGTAATTCCTCTTAATTAGGCTTTGCTCAGTCAACAGCAGCGAGCTCTGCTTGTTTTTCTGTTTTTTTTCGGTTATTTCTTTTCAAATGAGTGGAAATGAGGGGTAAATTGCAAGTTTGATCACTGGGATTAAAAAAAACGTTCATGTTTGGTCACTGTAAATATTTAATTCCGTTCGTAGTCACTAAATTTAGTAAAACAGTCTAAGTTTGGTCACTCTCCGTTACCTTCCGTTAGTCTCTGTTAACAACGTCAATTTTTTGCTGACATGGCTAACAGAAAAGGCCGGTCACTATATTTTTAACTCAAAAAAATAAAATTCAACCTACCACATCATCAAAACCTAACCCAACTCGTGACCCGACTCAACCCATCCGACCTAAAAAACCTCATCCAACCATTCCAATCTCTCACCTTGCCGTTGACCTCCGCCACTCCAAATCCTTCTCCAACAACTCCAACCCTAATGCCTCCTCCCCCACCACTTCCACCTCCGCCCCAACCAAGACCACAATCTCTAAGCCACGTTGCCGCTCGTGCGAGATATGGCCCCGGAACAGCCTTTCTGATCTCAAATCCCTTCACTAGAGCAAGCAGGGAGGAAGCAAACTACGGCGAATGCATCCTCTCATCCATTAGAGACATCGCTGTTGGGCTCAATACTGCCTTTATACTTCTCTTTG